ATCATCATGCCTGGAAAGATCCGTCGGGTGGCTGTGATTGGCACCGGGCCGAGCGGCGCCATCGCAACCGACGCCCTGGTCAAGGAACAAGCTTTCGACACCGTCCGAGTTTTTGATCGGCGGGCCGTTCCGGGCGGCACATGGTAACTCAAATCCGAAAAACAAACTTCAAGCCGAAGACCGTTTGCTCTAACTCACACAACACAGGATTTACACTCCTCATCTACCAGCAGCAATCCCATCCCTGCGCAAGCTCCTCGATGGAAACGCTGACGCCCCCGTTCCCATCCCAGCCCAGCTTCCAGCGCAGACCGAAAAGTCAGAAGCCGTCAACAGTCACCAAGTCCGCTTCTCAGATACAGCCCAGCATGAGCATCTGCATACAAACATCACACCCGAGATCATGAGCTTCACCACAGAGCCTTTCCCCGAGACGTTGACTAACCGCATCCGAGAGAAGTATGGCGATGATGCTCCGTTCCGAGGTCGCGGTCAAATCAGGGACTGGGTTGAAGACATATTTGTGCGAAATGGTCATGAAAAGCTGCTCGAACTCAGTACCACAGTCGAACTTGCGGAGAAGAAGGGCGATGAGTGGGTTCTCACTCTGCGGAAAGAGCTTCCAGGGAAGGACCAATGGTGGCAAGAGAGATTTGATGCTGTTGTAGTTGCGACTGGTCACTACAACATTCCTTGGATACCCGACATTCAGGGAATCGCCGAGTACGATGAGAGGTTCCCGGGAAGGATCGTGCATAGCAAGCACTTCAGGGGCTCTGACAAATACAAGGGCAAGGTACTTCACCCACTCCACTGTATCACCACAGGTTGTTTTGCTCACAGAATTCCAGAAAGTCATTGTTGTCGGAGGATCTGTTTCCTCACACGAGCTTCTCCATGAAGTCCTTCCGGTCGCGCAGCACCCGGTCTACGCTTCTCTCCGAGGCGATCCAATTCCCCACTTCGGCTGGGAACCTTTCACACATCCTCACATTTCGATTCAAAAGCAAATTATCCACTTTTGCTCTAAGACAGGGACCATTACGTTCGAAGATGGCACCAAAGTTGAGGATGTCGATCACATCATATTTGGCACCGGCTACACTTTCAGCTTCCCATTTCTGCCTAAAGTACAGGAGAGAGTGGTGCAAGCTGACCGCCGCTTGCCGGGTGTTTACTACCACACTTGGGATATTGAGGACCCGACACTCGCTTTCCTCGGCATGGTAAGTGGTATTCTTAACTCCCGCATGACCGGCTTGCTAACGCCAAACAGTGCGGTGGGGGCTTCACCTTCAGACTCTTCGAATGGCAAGCTGTCGCAGTTGCTCGACTTCTCGCGGGCAGAGGAAACCCGTTGCCGTCTAAGGAGGAGCAGAAAGAATGGGAAAGAAAGCGCGTTGCCGAGCTCGGAGGTGGCAAGGCGTACTACACCATCGCGCCGGACTACAAGACAGTCTTTGAGTACTTCAGATCAGTCGCAGGCAATCCTGAACCAGGCACAACCGGCCGCGTGTTACCGCCGTTTGACGACAACTTGTTGGATATTTGGGCTACTATGGGAACGGCTAAAACTAAGTCTTGGCAAGACTCTCGAAAGAAGGCGGAAGATGAGCTTGAAGGCCAGAAAATCAGGGCCCGGCTCTGATAGTGGCCCAAGAACAGCTAGGGTTGGGTGCGTAAAATAGAGAGATAGATTGGATTAAATGACGATGATAAGTTGATTCTGCCATGGGGGTAGCCGTGGTGGCTGACTTATCTAATCATCGTAAAGCCAGATAAGATTCTGCCTACTCTGCCTTGAACTTTGCCACTTTTGAAGCATTGGCTGTTCTGAAGACTTGATTCTTTGGACTTCAGAGACTTCCTTCCTCCTCCCTGTCAGTTCTCGTGCCTGCTGTTGCTTTGGAGATGGTACGTATGAACCCTTTTGCAAGACCATCCAAGCTCGTTACAGCCCTCTTCCAAAACCCGTTTATCGATTCAAATGGTGATTTGGCCACGTTTATAACGGCACCCGGGCCTTCTTGCTCCCACTTTTGCAGGCAGGCGGGGCATAGCCCTGCACCGCCTGGTAGCTTCTCGTCCTTGCCTGCCGATCGATACTAACAATCGAAGCCAGACTTAATGCACCTTTCGCAGCGAATCACAGTCGGAGGATTGCGTATCCGATGACCGCAGTCATACGTATAAAAGACGTCTTGGCACATGATATGACGAAACCGATATGAGGAGATCTCACAGAGATGTCTGTATACGGTGCTGTGATAAGTAAAAGGCACCTCAGTTAGTGATGCATGCGCCGACCGGAGGTATGCTGCTTTGTCTAGAACAAGATAGCCTGGGTTACACACATTACGTCCGGTGACTCTGCTTATATAGGGTACCTAAAGTAGAATCTGCTGTTTAGCTTTAACACGCCAGTCTTGGTTCTATCTTGCATTGGTTTTGCCTCTCAACGGCTGGATAGAGCTCCAGCTAAGATATGCTCAGTGCAGATCAAACAGAATGGTTTGAACAGAGCAAGAAGCTAGCTAAGTCAAAAAGAGTTGTCGCAATTGAAAACGTGTCTTGTTTTGTTGGAATTGTAGGTGAAACCAGCGGGTTTTAGTATACCAAGTGATTAGTTGGCGGTACATTGGGTGAACCTGGCAATAAAGGAAGAATCTAGTCTACCAGCACTTTATCATGCGAGATCAACTGTTGAGAATGCGAGATTGTCGTCACTTTTACACTTCTCACATATTTGTGCTGACTCACGGATTCCCTTCGAGTTGTTGGCTTTGGCTTCCAAAGTGAATTTCCCGCCAAAGTGTGGATGCTGAAAACTGGAATTGCTGCTTAATGTTGACACGTCCGTTCCTATCATTTGCCCTTCCATGATCCCTCAATGACTTCCTCTGTCGTTCTGGTGACGATGTCCGCAAACTTAGGCTTGATATCATGTTCCTTCGGTACAAGGAACTGCTCAGTCCCCGCATAATAGTGCAAGATTGCGAAAAGCTTTTCCGACTCCTCTTCGCTGAGACCTATGTCCGGAAAGTCTGAAATGAAGGAGATTTTGCCCAACTTCAATTTCTCAAGGTCATCATAAGCGACACGAAATTTCGCCCCTAGTTATTAATCAGTGCTGCTGAGCGTTCACTGTTCAGACGGTTCGTAGAAGCGGACATACCTCGCGCTTTCTCGGAAATCTCAAGAATCTCGGATATCGACCGCGTCTCCGCGATGATGCTGCTGATTTTATCCCACTTGTCCAGGCCCATTAGGCGAGCAATGAACTTGGCCATGTCCTGTGAGGCAATGAAGTTCACCTTCGCCGAGCCGTCTCCGGGAATAACAGCCCACTTCTTCTCCACATTCACCATGTTGACCCAAGGGTGCATGTACGTCTTCCAGTGCGGCATGCCGAAGTAGTCCAAGAAGAATCCGTTGACTACCCGAGTGTACTCCAGGTTGGTGCGATCCAGCTCATCAATTGCCTCAAAGACGAACTTGGCAAGAGGGCTGTCATCAACGTGTCTGTCAAGCCTCAGCATCATGTACACATTGCCATTGAAGTTGTCAGGGCACGTACTCTCGCTTGTGCAGCATGTCGTACGCACTGACAACGAACCGCTTGGTTGTGCTTGATCTATCGGCTGCTTTAATCAGCTGAACCTGGGATACGCTGATTTCTGCTGTGACTACACCCATAGCGCTGATGACTGTGTCGATTTTGTTGGTCTCCAAAATCTTGGAGGTTCCTTCTATATCCGGGTAGTTGACCGCGAGGTATTGGACTCCATTTTGGGGCGGACGACTCTGTGAGAAATGTTGGCGTGTGTGCTCACGATACAGTCAAATACGCATTTTTTTTTTTTTGCTTACTGCTCTTGAAAGCACAAACACTTTGTGTCCGCCGTGTTGAATCAGGCCATCGACGATGGTTCGCCCAACTGGCCCTGTGCCACCAGCAACTGCAAGAATAGCCATGATGATACTGATTTTGCGTACGTCAATCAATGAATTAATCTAATCATACCATCACTTGGAATATCATCATGGGAAGGAGATGTCTGCATATATAGAAAATTCGCTGTAACGTAGGCGCTGGTACCCCGCGATTCATATTCCGCTGATGCTTAGTGGGCACTTCTGCTGCCACTGAAACGGTGTGTGACCTTCAGTTGGGACTACTACCCGATGGGGAATAGATACCTAGCAGTTAGAGGTAGTTGGGAAGGAATCGGGAACCACAAAAGTAACATCCAAACCATGGAATAGGGAAGAAAACAGAAATAAGACCCAAACATTCAATCGACACAGAGACACTACCTGCACAGCCGATTGGTGTGGCTTCTGCGTCAGGCTCTCGCAGTATTTATAATCAAAGCGTTCAGCATTTCCCGCTTTTGGAGAAATTAGGCGGCCTACCTCGGGGTGGCTCAACACGCAGCGGACACTAACTGTAACCGTTAACCGTCATCCCGCTGCAACCCGACTCTAGCCCATTTAAACCCCTCTCAACTTCGCACAAAGCAGAGGGGGGAAAGCAGAAGGAAAAAAGGCAAAGGAGACGAAATCGAAGTCATAATGCATCGAATCGAATCAGAGGTCTTGATGTCGACGGACTTGCTAAGGGCTCCGAACCGCGGATTATTTTAGCTTCAAGGCATGTGTCACCACTTCAGTTGGCGGAGACTCCGCGAAAGTGGGGTACAATAATTTGACCCGAAAAGGAAAAAGAACCAGCCGGACATTTGGAACCCCGATCATCCTTTCTGCCGGTCCTCATGATGAATGCTGTCTCTCATTTAGTATTTGAGATCATCGGAAATCGAGAATAAAGCGGTGAAGCCTCAAGAAACAGGCAATCGATACCAGGCCCCTGATTATCATTTACGACTGAAATGGTGATTATATGTCGTGTTCGTGGTTTTCATTACACCTCTGGATCGAAAGACTCTCTTTTTAGACCGTATCATCATTTTTAAAGACCAACTTCAAGTGCTTTCAACATGACATCGGAAATCGCCTTGCAAGAGTCAAGTACATCGCAATCAGCATCCATCCGCGATGAATCTGGAAAAGGAGTCGAAGATGCTAAAATGAAGAACGAAGCGGCGCCAACCTCTATGGAGAACACGAGCCCTAGCCCGCCACAAGAAGATCTTGAGGAACCGCTTACATATCCTGAAGGAGGTTTGCAGGGCTGGTGCGTGGTTCTGGGTTCTTTCTGCGCCATGGTGTCTGTGTTCGGATTGCCCAATACTGCAGCTGTCTTTGAATCCTATTTCTCCGAGAACCAATTAAGTGAATACAGCCCTTCTCAGTTAGGGTGGATATTCTCGATTTATCTCTTTGTTTTGTTCTTGTTTGGAATTCTAGCCGGGCCAGCCTTTGACAGGTACGGCCATCGAGGGTTGGTTGCGGCAGGGAGTCTGGTAATGATTGCCAGTCTAGAGATTCTAAGCTTCTGCACAGGTAATAACATCCTAATCACTCCCTAGCGCTCACTGACTGATTTCTGTTAGAATATTACCAGATCATTCTCACCTTTTCCATCATGGCTGGCCTTGGTGCGTCTCTGCTCAATACCCCGTCCTTCGCCATCATTGGCCACTGGTTCAATACCAGGAGAGGCCTTGCGATGGGTCTCGCAGCAACCGGTGGTTCATTCGGGGGCGTCATCTTCCCCTTCGTGTTGCAAGCGGCTCTCCCGAGATTTGGTTTTGCATGGAGCATGCGCTTACTGGGCCTGATTTACCTCATCTTCGCTGTGCCAACAAACCTCCTAATGAGAACTCGCCTTCCACCAAGCGAAAAGTTCGATTCTATTTGGCCGGATATACGGCTTTTCAAGGAACCAAAGCTCGCCTTTTGCTGCGGCGGTGTCTTCTTCATGGAGTACGGAGTCTTGATCCCACTCACCTACATTATCTCTTTTTCCATGAGCAAAGGGCGCGATGCTAGCTCAAACTATCTATTTCCCATTCTGATTAATGTAGGCAGTATCATTGGGAGAGCACTGCCTGGATTCATTGCCGATCAGATTGGGCGCTTTAACACCATCGTCCTTACCGTCGGCCTGTGCACGATATCGGTCTTCGGAATGTGGCTACCGGCGGGTAGCTCATGGCCGGTGTTGCTTGCCTTCACCTTCATATTTGGTTTCGCCAGCGGAGGGAATGTGAGCCTCATCCCAGCTTGCATTGGACAACTCTGCGACTCTCGAGACTACGGGCGTTTCTTGTCTACAGCGATGCTGTCCGCCAGCTTTGGGACCCTTCTTGGCATTCCCCTTGGTGGGCTACTATTGGGGATCAAGGACCAAGAGACAGCATGGAAAGCGCTGGTATTGTTTTCCGGGTTCTCATACGTTGTATCCCTTGGTTGTTACATTGCAGCCAGAGTGCTTGCAGTTGGTTGGAAGCTCAATGCAGTGTACTAGCTTACATGTAATAAAAATATCCACCGAAACCGAGTGTATTTGCATTCCGAGTGCACATCCTCGTCCACAGCCGCTTTCCCATGCTCGGTTCCTGCTCTGCCTCTAATCTCTGGAAGATACATACTCCCCATGGATAGGCTTGGTGACTTCTTCATTCCGTGAAAACCTTACCACCGCGGATAACTTCCAGCGCGGTGTTGGTATGAGCCCATAGGTTCTGCCGCAGCGCGTCCTTGTCCACCGAAGCATATTTCTTCGCGGCATAACAACTCTCACCATTCCAAGTCAACATGTATGAGCCACTGCCGTATTGTCCATCGGTCCCGGCAATGGCATAACTGCTGACCTCGCCATCTCTGTCAAGGGGCTGCGCCGGGTAGTAAGATGGCGATGCCAACGACACCATCCGAGCCCCTGACTCTTCTAGATCCACGTCCACGCCGAGGAATGGCAGTACTTTGGTGAATAGGATGCGTATCCACCAGGGATTGGTTGGGTTACCCATGCCCTCGTGCACAACGAGCCCGGGATAGATATGAGTAACGCGTAGCTTGCCTTGGTGCCTCTTTGCCAGCTCTTCGAAAACGAGAGTGTGCATGTAGCAAGCGTGAGACCGCGCTTGCGAATAGTTGTAGTGAGACAGGTCGCGCAGTGAAAGGTCATCGGGGTAGAGTTTGCCTTCCATGCCTGCGGCGTAGATAGAGACTACGGCGGCTGGAAGCGACGACTTCAGGATCAGAGGCATCAGAGAAGTGATGAATGCGATGCGGCTGTAGTAGAAGCGAGACATGGTGCCATCTAGACCCTCCTTGGTGTCTGAGATTGGAAAGACGCAACGAAGGTCAGCCTAACTAAATACCATCATAAACAACGGTATGCTTGGTATATCGTACCTTGTCTTGGCAAAAATATAGTTCCTCCATGAGATAGCAAAAGGAAATCGATCCTGGGAGTCTCGCCATTGGCTGACGCATTGCGCTCTTCAGAGGAGTTGATCTCCGCGCAGACCTTGTCCACTTGTTCAACGAGTGATAGATCCTTGATTTTTATGTAGTGATATTCGCCTCCCTCATAAATGGCGCGACACTCTTTTATGATCTTCTCTGCGGCATCAGCGTTACGGCCAACAAGGTAGGCTCTCAAACCCTGCCCATTGTGTTTCGCGACGGCAGTGGCTAGCGCCTTCAGGCTAAGAGGTCCGATGCCTCCAGTGCCGCCTGTGAAGACGGCGACGAGCTTCTGGCTCTGTACCAACTCGCGATTGATGCCGTGGACGGTATCCAAATTGACCATGGCGGCAAATGAGGTATGTCTTGGTTTCACAGGTGAGGTGTGACGCGTATTGAGAAGATGTGGCTGGATCTGCCTCAGAGGCAACACTCAAGGGAAGCCCCGTCATCCTTTATAAGTAGTACAATTGTAGTGGCAGACCACCGTTGTAAATGCTTAGAAGAGCGTGCCTCAGTCAAAAGCCACTGATCAATGTGATGGAATGCAAGAGTAAGCCCTAGCCATTTCAAGAAGCGGAACACGGCAGCCTAGGGACTTTTGGTACCAGGACCAATTGTAACGACTTTTGAACACGACGGGAGGTTAGCGTCATTTCTCTCGGGCTGAATTAGGACCCTCCGATTCGACGGAAGTCCCTTCTCACGTGGCTTGTAAATCGTTCGGACGCAACATGGGTAGCATGCATAAAACCCGAACCCGAGTTTTAGCGCGATGCTACCAAGACAGTCTTGCCTCTATGACGCTGATGATCCATCTGCGATATTACACTTCACACGTCTCAGCCTCATCGAACATAAGCTCTGAGAGCTCGCATCGCGACGGTCATCGCATGAAAGTCGCCTCGGATATCGCACGTTACATCTTCCCTCTACACCCATTCGCATGAACTGGCTTCCAATCCCTGTCAGTCTCTACCAGCGAGAACAAACGCCGCATCATGACCGAAGACACATTATCGGATCCAGCTGAATGCGTAGAGCCGGGTTCCAGCTGGGGAACAGCCACAGTGCCGGATACTACCGAACAAAGAGCCGATATGAATCTCCCTCCGAAGCGCTCGCATAAGAAGTCTCGCCTCGGCTGTACCAACTGCAAGCTGCGAAAGGTCAAATGCGATGAGACCCGCCCAGCCTGTCGCTCCTGTAGGATACGTCGGACAAAATGCGAATATGCACCTGTGGCTTCGAGAAAGTCTCCAGCATCTTCACCTTCTCAGGATTACCAGGTAACGCCAATCGCCTTGTCCGAACGTACCGCAATGAACCCGAGAATAGTCCACGAGCCTTTGGTCTGTCTTCCAACCACCGATGCTGTGGACATGAGACTGCTGTGGTTCTACACCTCCTCCACATGCAAGTCTCTCTCTTACGTGGATGATACGCAGCGTCCAATAAACGACATGCTCCAGACCGTACTAGTTGAGCATGCCTTCGAGGCGCCCTTTCTGATGAACTCGATTCTCGAGCTCGCAAGCCTTCACATGCAAAGCCTAGGCCAAGCAACGGAGCCAACCCGTGCCCTCGTGTATCAGGCAAGGTCCGTTGAAGGGTATCGCAAGGCCATCGAAGACGCGAAGCCAAGCATGTATGGCGCTCTTTTGGCCAACTCCGTGCTGCGACCTATTCTTTCGACGCAGTCGTTTGGGGAAGTATCGTCCAATCATCTCCACATTCTGGACTGGATGCGTCTATGGCGAGGCGTGGAATCAATCATCAACATCACCAGCACGTCATCCATCAAGACGACTGGAATGGCACCCCTATTTTCTCGACCGCCCATGGATCTAAATGCATCTACCGCCGCGATTCCGAAGGACTTACTCCTCATGATATCATTCATAGAACGGGACGATCCTGACTTCACCGAACTTCAAGCCTATCAGAACGGCTTGAGGGCATTGGGTTGTTTGTTCGATAGCCTGGGACGGGGTATTGACTCCGTCATGCTTCTGCGCATCATCACCTGGGGCACCGGCGCGGTAAATGGTATCGTTGACCTGGCGAGGGCTAGGAGACCGAGGGCTCTCGTGATAATTGCACACTATGCCTGTTTCTTGAAACTACTGCAGGGTGTATGGTGGCTGGCAGGCTTCGGTCAACAGTCCATAAAGGCCATCTGCCATGAACTAGGTTCTGAGTGGCACTCGTTTCTGAGCATTCCGTTGTCAGCAATGCTAGTAGAGGATCACTCAGATCTCTCTTCTATATTGCTAGGCGCCATAAATCGATAGATGCGTTGGAACTTTCTGAAAATCAAACGCCAGGCAAAATGTTAGCCATGTAATGTGTATGCTCAGCGTAATTCGTCTGAGTAGAGCCTCCGTCGTATCTGACTTTCGGACATACGAGCCTGGGCTAAGATCATGAGAATCAACTTCTAATTGAAAACATACTTTGCAAATGCAAATATGTCCAAGCCAACCCGTGCAAGTGACCTCGCCGATCATTACACAGAGTCAGTGGCTCACGTGAAATGCATAATCACTGCGTTGACCTCAAAAAGGTGGCGTTCTCGGGTTCGGGTCCTTAGCTCCTTCGATCGGCTTTCGGGGCCAGGGCGGTGCCCCACCAAACGCAAACCCGAACCCGATGAATGAGTGCATCGACAAGTCTGAAGAGCCCTTGCATAATGATGAGTCCTACTCGTTTGACTTGAAGTCCATTGGTGTTATGGTGTGTATAAGAAAGCAGTACCTTCCCTGATCTGTCTGTCCGATCGTTCAGTCTGCAGTCAATCAGCCTCATTGTCTAGCTACGCCTGTTTATAACCGATTTCTCACAACGACATATCCATACTCTCAAATCTACGACAGAACCATGGATCATCTGAGAACTACAGCTATAATTGTCGGCGGTGGCCCAGTTGGCCTTACTGCAGCATTGGCTCTCACACGGGCAAGCATTGACTTCATCCTCCTGGAGCGACGAAAGGAAGTTGTCGTTGAAGAGGGGTCTGACATGACCATCCTGCCAATGACCATGCGCGCTATTGATGAGATGAATCTTTCGGAGCCATTATCGAAGATTTGGAACCCAGTCTCAGGAATTTCACGAATTGATCATAACGGTCGAGGCATTGGTGAATTCCGGGTATTTCAATACCTACGAGAAAGGTATGTTGCAATGAAGCACAGACTTCGCAAAAGCCTAGCTTACTGACGACACGCATGTCTGCAGCACTGGACATTATCCTTATGTTCTGAGCCGGAAAAACCTGCTCAACACGCTATATCAAGCCTTGCCGAAGGATGCCCAGAGTCGGATTTTCACCAGCAAAACCATCACTGGCATTCATAACTCGCCGGACAGGGTCACAGTCTCTTGCACTGATGGCACAATGTACTCCGGGAAATTTGTCATCGGAGCCGATGGTGCTTACAGCGCGGTCCGGACACATATGCGAAGCTTAGCACTCGACGCGGGAGTTCTCAATGTCAATGAAGTCAACCCGTTCACCACAACCTACCAAGCCCTGTGGATCCGCTTTCCGACCGAAAGACTGCCAAGTTGCAAGCCAGGCTCAGCGACCGAGACTCACGGGTCCGGGATCGCGACTCAGCTCTTCGTGGGTGAAAAGACAGCAACAGCCGGTATTTACAGAAAACTGCCCAGACCTACGCGCACATCGACGCGCTACACCGAGAAGGATGAAGCAGCCCTCGTCAAGGACTATGGGCACTTGCCGCTTCTGCAGAGGACTGGAAGCGATACTCCCGTCTGTCTGAAAGACGCCTACGAAGCGCGCCTGGGGTCCGGATTAGTTGACCTAGAAGAAGGTGTTCTCCAACACTGGTCCTGGAATGGCCGGATTGTTCTCGTCGGAGACGCAGCCCACAAATTCACGCCCAGCACGGGATCTGGTGTCAACTTTGGGATGATAGACACTGTCGTCTTGGTCAATCATCTCCACACTCTCTCGAAAGCCCATCGCGAAGGAGAAAGCGCATGGGACACTAGATCGCTCTCTCAAGCTTTCGAAATGTACCAGCAGGAACGTTATGAGGATGTGAAAGCCGGCTGTCAGCAGTCAAGTGGCGCCACAGCCACGGCTACATGGTCAAACGTGGGCTTGATGCTTCTTGATCAATATTTACTGCCGACTCGCGTCATGCAATGGCTTCTTGGAATGCGGATTGCGATGCAGACTAGAAGCAAGGAGGCTGTGGGTTTTAGATTTTAAGGAGAATTCCTCCTCTGTCTTGTTAATGAGTTTACATGTGGATTTGGTTTTCGAATAGTCATAGTCAATTCTTATATCCTGCACATTGCTTTGATGTCATTCTGCTATGTTGGAGACCCTTCTTGGAATTTGCCATGTGCTACCTTATCTTTCAATAGGTAGTAGCGACACCTGTTCTTCGGCCTCATTCACACCTTCACAACATGCACCGCAATGATTAAGCTAACGTTCAGTAAACAAAGCAGGCAAATCAGAGCTCATGTTCTGCGCCTTTCTATCCTTGTGTATTTGTCTCGATGCCCGCTAGGTGTTTGCTCGGGTTACTGCAGCCACCCTCGTCAACTTGAATGCAAACGGGACCAGTTTGGAAAGAATGGTCAAATCGAAACTTTATCTATTGGTCTTTCCTTTTTTTCTTTTTCTTTTGAAAACTTCATCGCCATTTCCGACAGGCAAAAAGTCTCCAAACTTTGCCGTGTAAATTTCGCCCACCCGTCCATGACGGATGCCTTTGCTCAAGACGACTGCTTCGCGTTTACTCCCACTTCAGTTGATCGCTTGCAGGTATAATCATCATCCAAATATCCATCTGAGCCTGATTTAACAACTCACAGGTTCATCCAGAACGATGCCGCCTCATATCAAACGCGAGACTGGTGCCAGGCAGCCCCCTCCCGAGAACTCCTACCTTGCCTACAAACGCGACACGAGACATCTCCTCTACTGGGTGATCAATACTTCAAACTCCATAGTCAAGAGATACCCGACCTCTCAGGATGAGGTGCCCCTGTCGGTCAGGGTCGACATCAATACCTCTGGCCAAACGACGGTCGCGGAACTTGTCGCGATGGGCCAACTGATCGCCCGACACATGCGCAAAATACCACAAGGCATCGTGCACCTACTTCGATCCGTCATCTCAGCTCGATCTCTGCATTATGAACAATTTCAGAAGTTCGCCAGTGCCTATCCAGATGCCGACCTCGTGAAGAGCAACTCTTCCCACAAGCACTTCATCGATGCTCTCACCGATATCCTCAAGGAATTCGGTGGCACCATTCAGCCAGACACTGAAGCAACCGAAAACTTCGACGTATGCCAACGGGATGTCGAAGAGATGCTGTTTTCCAACCGGTTCTCTGTTTTGAGCATCAACAGAGTCGACGGCGACGGGGAGTCTGACGAAGATTCGGCTGACGAGTCCCGCCCGCCAGCTCATCAGCAGGCCGCAAAGAAGATTCACAAGGGCAAGAAGAAGCAATCAAAGAAGTCGAAGCGCAAGAGTGGTCCTCGGACGGCTTCGGGCTCCGGTCTGGAGAACGTCCCTATGGAGAGCTACCGACTTCTAGAGGGCGATGACTGTCTTCTGTACATCATGGCAGTATTTTCACTTCGACATCAGTGGTTACATCTGAGACGCCAGATCAGAGAGGCTTGGAATGAAGTCGCTTACGAAGAATTGAACAGCGCCGTTGCAGTCGGACTGTCCAAGATCGCAGTTGGCCTTGTGCAAAAGACGGCTTTGGAGATCTTCGTCGAGTTTCCAGGCAGAGATTCATTCGAAACGATTATCGACTGCGTCAACCGCAATATCATCGGCGGAAGAGACCTCAATCTAATCTATTATGATGAAGGATCGGTTGATGCTCAAGAGTTGAACATGAGCTACGCCTACCGAGACCTTGTGTCTTTCATCGAAGACTTCCGCAAGGCGGGTCGAACAGGGAAGCCGACGAAAGCGCTGCAGGTCCAGCTTGATTGGAACCCAGAATTTGATATCCTGAGCGCCACCGACGAGGAGAGAATTTGTTGGCGTCGTGCTTACACCATCAACTGGCTCTATGATCTTGTCAATGTCTACTCTGCACCGTACTTTGAGCATGGCATAGCGCACCGCGACCGCAAAAAGGGTAAACTCGAAAATGTCGACTGGAAAGTGAAGGGCCCTTGGAAAGATCATCGATGTCTGTTCGGTTTGGACGACTTTGCCGCCGTCATAACCTCTCTTGCTATGCAGAAGCCCGGAGCAGAAGTCGCCAGAAAAGTCTTGCCGCACCATGTTTTCCAACTGCAGTGCATCTTGGACTCCATGACCGAGTCGAAGGGATGGTCTTTTGAAGGGGTCGGGGAGACACACTCTCTTACGGCGGCCGCCGAGAATTTCAGCCCAAATCGGGACCTCCAAATGTTCCTCTTGGCTACCCCCAACAGTAACCGGTATGGATATTTTAAGTGTCTCCGCCTGATGGTCGATTATCTCCTCTGCGACACCTACGACCACGGTTGGGATAACCGTCATTACCTCAAAACCCAAACGTTGTCTAACCTTGAAAAGGACCTACGCAAGCATCTTGGTAGGTCTCCGCTTGCAGATACTCAGTCAGCAAGCCCAGGATCCCGGTTCGCAGCCACTAATGCCGACGGCCTCTGGGAATACTCGCCCTATCTGTGCGGAGAGGGCCTAGCCGAAGCTCTGCAACTTGCATACTTGGCTAGTATGTGGATCTGGGATAATGTCGGCGAGTTGACGATGATGATTCATTTGTACAACATGCTGGTACAGAAGGGGTACATGGCCGTCCGGATTCCGCTATACGAGGTGTTCCTGGACAACTTCAAGGATGCTGTGTTTGCCAAAGGCATTGTACCCACGTCTAGGTTCTCCGAGAGTCTCTTGAACCGGATCGGAAGGCATAACGTGGAACTTTGCCGAACCAAGCGCACGGAAAAGATCATCGCTCCGAAAGACTGCAATGTCTACAGAGTCGATCGGCGGTTTCACGAAAAGAACAATTTCTACAAACGGAAGTCGCTGCTACTCCTTCTCGCAGACGCAGACTGGAATCCGAGTCGCATCCCCGATACCGAGATTATCCTTGGTTCACATCTTGCGTACCACCGATTGCAGAAGGCCAGAAAGGTTATCGACCCCGAAACTGGCAATACACAACTTGAGGAGACCGTGCTTGTGAAAAGACATGTAGAGGGAGGTTTCGACAAATGCGAGCTACTTGTACGCATGTCAAAGATTCAACACACTCTTGACGTTATCCACGTCGCGATCGAGAGCAAGAGCAACGCGTGGTTCATAACACCCAGAGAACACTCGGAACTTACCGGTTTGCTGGGCCCAGCCAAAGAAGATCTTATCAACGACATCTGCGGCTCTTTCCCTCTTTCCGGAGTGGACTTCATGCAAATGGGCATTTTCATTGGCACGACGATTTGTCACTTCGAAAAGGTTTTGGAACAGCATGGCAACAAGTTGTTCAAGGAAGCCTACCTGCCAGGTGCACCGTGGGCCTTCATGAAAAAGGCAAAGCTGCTGAACCTCGCCCTTCAAGGAAATGACGACGAGTGCTTAAAGGCAATGGCAGGTCAGATGCAGATGAAGTTTTTACTCGATTACAGTGTGGTGTACTGGGAGAACGTGGAGCATCCGCGGGAGAGATTGGTCAGAAGAGTTCTCAAGACGTACAACATGGAGACGATGGAAGAATTTCTGAACTTTTTCAAACAAGAGTTTCTAGACAAACTTCTTTAAAGGAGAATGATTACCGCAGGTACTAGACGTTGACCAAATTTGGAGCCACGGTATTGGACTGGCGGAATCGGGGCGTGCTGGTCACAACGTTGCAGGATGTCATGGTACATCGCGGATATTGCGCCCTCTAGTAAATTAAGAGCGCATAACGCATCCAGTGCCAAGTTGACTAATGCAAAAAAAGAAAAGAAAATTTAACCCCTCCTCATGCGGTGACGTAGGCGCGGTCCCGTTTATTTCTGACAGGGGTCGGCGCTGAGAAATATTTCTCCTCTCCTGCTGCATACATCTGTCCCTGAATTTGGGCCCACCACACCAATTTTGTCACCAATCTTGTCCGCGAAGGAGTTCTTCCTAGACGTGGTTACTAGATGGCATAATCCTGATACCTCATCACATCGACTCAGTTCATCACGGCAAGTCTGAGCTGATCTGACTGAAGCTGTAGGGCGCAGCCATGGCTATCGCGACCCCAGAAATGGCGCAACGGGCGAGTCCCGTTGCTACCCGAGACTCTTACATCGGATACAAACAAACAAGATACGCGAGATCTTGTGGAATGGATGGTCAAAACTACCAATCACGTTCTCAAGGCACAGCCGAATTCGGCCGAAGAGCGCCAGCTTCCCTTTGGGGTCAGTCCTTCCGGAGCGACAAACGTGGCTGGCCTAGTAGCCATGGCCCGCCTGATCGCGGACAGTGGCGCTACTGTGTCTGGCAGCATTTTTTCGCCGGTTGATCGCAATTGTGAGAGCAAGAAGGAGTCATTATCACGCCTTTGTAGAGTATGCATCTATGCTACCTGATGAAGATATCGAGAAGAGCAACGACATGCACAAGCATTTCATTGACTCGCTCATCGACATCTTCTCAATCTTGGGAGGGGTTAGCTGGTGGGACAAGCAGATGGAGGCGAACAAAATGACTTCAAAACGACCTGATTCAGATGCCGAGCAAATTGAGGACATGAAGGGAATAATCTTCAGCAATAAATTTGCCTTGCTCGATCTCAGCCATGGCGATCTTCGAACTGGCGATGCCAAGTCACAGCCGCCTTCGGAACCAGAGTCCGACGCAGAAGAGCCACCTATAGAATCCAAGACTGGCAAGAAGAAGCGCCTCAATGGCAAGAAAGGCAAGGGCAAGGCCTCCAAATCCTCTCGAAAATTCCACAAGCCTGTCAGAAATTTGGATGCCAACGAGGCTACTGTGGAGAACTACCGTATCCTGGAGGACGACCAGCTCATGAGTTACACCATGGCAGTATTGTCGTTCCGCGCAGAGTGGGCTCAGATACGACACTACGTCCAAGACTTGTGGCGCGACGTTGCCTACCGGGGTTTGAACACCGCTATCGCTGGAGCAGTCTCGAATGTAGCTGTTGCTAAGATCAAGAAGACGGAGCTCGGATTGTTTGACGACTTTCCCGAACACTGCTTTTTCGAGAAGATTACCG